CCCCCCCCCCCCCCCCGGCCATCGGTGATCGGTCCTGTTGGAACAATGCTCCGTCCTCTCGAGGACGCATACCCCCCCCCCGGCCCCCGCGAGGCCTTTGCGTACCGAACACCGCTGTGCACATCAAAATCAGCTGTGCCTCGAGCCCCCGTTCCCGTCGGGAATATGAATAAGCACAGGCTTGAAACTCGCACCTTCTCTAGCTGCCTCTTGTCGTGCGCGCTTAGCGTCGACTCTCCTTCCTCCAGATCTTTCTTGGAACTATCGCGCGCGCCCCTCCAGCGCTCCATCTTCCGGTTGGTCGCCGTGAACAACCGGTACGCCTGCATCCAAGAAAAACGAGATTTAGAGTGAAAAAAACCTAAGGAAACGAGCCGGGTTGAATAAGTCACAAGTTAACTTTCAGAACAGCGAGGAAACGAATCGTAATGGGTTTAGCTGAAGTGCACGAAAGCCTTGAGAAAAAACAGGTAGCTCCAAAAAAGGGCCAAAACAAGCCCCATCTGCGGGGCTTGCCTTCGCGAGAAGAACCTGGTAACTACTGTTTGGAAAAAGCTGGCATCCGGAGAAGGAGGGGGGGGGAGGTACCTAGATCGGANGCATTTGGTTCTATTCCGCGTCACACCCGCCCGACCCCGACGTGCAACAGCCGTGCCGCGAAAGCCCGGCGACCGCTGATGGAACAATCCGGTATACGGGAGGGGAGGGTTACTCAACGTCTTGCATGCCTTAGACTTGACCTCGCATCCCTACAAAGCCGGGAGGGAGTCCGCGTCACACCGTCGCACCTGCCCGATCCCGACGTGCAACAGTCGCGCCGCTAGCCCGGCGAACTCCGCCGTAGTCCCGAAACTTTTACTCTTCGGGTCGATCTCCTTCTCTTCTTCCTCCTCCCTCTCCCCCCCGCCTGCACCGGCCCCTGCGGTCGACTGGGGGGTGCTACCGGGGGAAGGGGACGACGAGGAGGAAGAGGAAGCCGAAGCTAGGAGGGCGGCCCGGTTAGCCTCGAATTGCGCGATACGGGACTGATTTCGCTGGTCCAACCACCGGCTGACCCTGTGCAAGCGCGTGGCCATGTTGTGCGAGTATTAGGAGGGGGGGAGGGGCGTACTCATAGTCGTTGCATGCCGGAGTCGTAAGAACATTGACCTCGCATCCCTACAAAGCCGGGAAGAAGCATGCCGTTCTTCACCGGACCAGGTTCTCACATCACCAAGCGCGCTGAGGAAGGGGGGGGGGGCATGAGAGAGCGCGATATGATACCTACCTCTCTTGCACACACGCATCGTCAGGGTGGCTTAGGATAACGAGCTCGACAAACGCAAAAAAAAAAACGCTGCAGATTTCATCGCTCGTAAAGTGTGCAGTCGACGAATTGTGTGTGAAATCACACAGTATTCGAAATAGCGGAGAGCGACACCAACAGCAGCAGGGACACCACGGCAGCGGCGTCAACAACAAAAGAAACCACAAGGACGACAACAAACACGATCACAACAACAACGATGACGATGACGATGACAATGGCAGCAAGAGAACGACGACAAACAACACACACAGGCAGTGGCAGCATCAACAACAATAACGACAACAACGACGGTGACGCCTGCTCTTACCCCGCTCCTCCCGCCGCACCGTCGTCTCCCTCACCACCCTCCTCCGGCGACTCCGACCACAACTCCGTGTCATCGCTCACATCGATCCTGCCAGCACACACACAAGGTTCATCGCACGACCCCATGGGGGTGGAGGGTGGGGGGGGCCTTGACGTGATTGTATATTCTTGGGTGAATACCTAACGGCTATAGCTGCAAGGTGCGCCGCGTTTTTACTTTTTCGTCACGGTATAGTTCAGCGCTCACAGCACCTTTGCCCGGTATGACAAGAGCTATCTCCGTGGCCACACACAAGGGTTCCTCGTGACATAAACTCTCTTCTTGACATCGTCGGTATCGCCTCCCGTCCCCCGCCCACCGCTCTCTTCTTTACTCGTGTC